TTATTTCTTTCCCGGTATCCACAGAGTGGAAACAAGTTTTGTTTTTGAGCAATGTTTTGACTACAGCTTAAGTTAAGCTCAGAACACGAACCTCCAGAAGTTGGCGGACAACTCTATTATTTCTTTCCCAGTATCCACAGAGTGGAACCAAGTTTTGTTTTAGAGCAATGTTTTTAGATCACCTAAAGTTACGCTCAGAACACGAACCCTTAGAAGTTGGCGGAAATAAATAAATAGTTCTCAGAAATAAATGATGAAATGAGCCTATTTCTTGCGCGTTGGGTGAAATTATAAGTAATTCCTCGCGAGAGGCCGGGCTGGACAACACATTTGTTCGGGAATAGAAATGTCAGTGTATATCTGATAACATCAGTGGTTTAGGGAAGTAGACTCAAAAGATGAACCAAAAACTGTTGTCTGGACAAGCGTATCGGAAGTTGTCGAGAGAGGAACCCGAACACCGGCCACGGCCAGCGATGGCATACGTGTATGTACCTTACGGCATCATCAGACCCGACAATATCCACTGCTGTTTATAATAAACGAGGCTGTTACCACAGAATATGGCTGAACTAAGCGTGCGGGTAAAGTGTAGTAGACACCTGAAAGGGATTATCAGTTCATCCATCTTTCCTTTCCTTTCCTTTCCTTTCCTTTCCTTTCCTTTCCTTTCCTTTCCTTTCCTTTCCTTTCCTTTCCTTTCCTTTCCTTTCCTTTCCTTTCCTTTCCTTTCCTTTCCTTTCCTTTCCTTTCCTTTCCTTTCCTTTCCTTTCCTTTCCTTTCCTTTCCTTTCCTTTTCTTTCCNTCCTTTCCTTTCCTTTCCTTTCCTTTCCTTTCCTTTCCTTTCCTTTCCTTTCCTTTCCTTTCCTTTCCTTTCCTTTCCTTTCCTTTCCTTTCCTTTCCTTTCCTTTCCTTTCCTTTCCTTTCCTTTCATTCTTATCGAGGCCCAACAAGCCAAATTACAAGAATATTACATATTATAATTAAAATACATGTAAAATACATTGAAAGTACATCCAAAAATAGCAAGCACAAAAACATTTATCACTAATCCTAATTATAATTATTGAAACTAATAAACAATTAAACGAAAAAAAAAACCCCAAAACAGATCAAACCTACTTAAGTGGGTTGAACCATGTTTCGTTTCTGCATTGTTGAATGCATTCCTTAAGCCACAAGAAGGCCTGTGCGGATTCTCTAACTATGAATTTAATAAATTAATATAAAATGGAATGGGGCTATTCTTAAAACGGTTAGTCCTTCAGGATAGCAATGAAATAGAATGAGATTTACGCAACTGCCTACCATGAATATTTTTCCTTAAAGGAGGAATAAGGTTTTCAGTTTGTTTACACTTTAGACTGAGCAAATTTACCACAATGTACCTGCCAACGGTCAACAAGGGTTTCAATGCTACACGTTTCCATAGCGTCCTGATACGAATTATAATTATGACCAAGCATAATTTTACGCGCTCTTTTTGCAATTTTTCTAAAATATGAACTTGATTATTGGTAAGTAGAGAATTCTACACCACGTCGGCATATTCTATCGTGGGTCCGATATATCCTTTATAAACAACTGTCAATTCATCTGTTGATTTTTTAATTGTGCGTAACATGTGTAAACGTCTGTTTGGTTCCTTTTACACATCACTAACCTGGAGATTTCACTTCAAGTCGTTTTGAATCTTGACACCTGGGATCTTTGCTGGAGACACTAACGCAAGTGGGTTATGATCAATATAATGCTTGTATGGGCGGATTTCTCTTGAAACAAATTTGAAGAGCCTGACATTTAAATGGATTTAAACACAAGTAATTTTCCTTTTTCCACTCAATAAAGCGATCTAATTCAATTTAATTGAAGGTTAAAAGTGATATAACTAGGACAATTCTCGGCTAGAGTCATCCACATACTTCCAAATAGCAACATTATTATCTGGTGAAAAAATCGTTGATGAAGCACTGAAATGGGCCCTTTTTGTACCTTGTGGAAGACCTCCTCTGGGTGTTTTGAACTCAGATAATGTCTGGTTTTATCTGACACATTGTTGCCTATTAGAAATGAAACTGCAAATCCAAGGAATAATTTATTCCTTGCCCCTAACTTTAAAATTTATTAATTGGAAGTGTATGCTCAGTGAGATCGAAAGCTTTCGAAAAGTCTGCCAAAACAACAGTGCCTCTATTGTTGAGAAAATCAGCTCCACTGTGTACAAAAATGCATCAAACCAACCAAATAGTGTGAGGTGGAAACCCCATTAACATTACCATACTGGGTGATGTCTACTTTATGGCTAATATCGTCAAGGATCCAATTAACAGTAAACTGTTCAGCACTTTTGGCCAAGTCATCGGTCAGGGACACCGGCCTCAGCCTTTTAATATTCGCCGGATACTCTTCAGGAACGGGAATAACAATAATTGCGCTTTTCCACTGAAAAGGAACACTTCCATCGTTATGAATTATGAGCTATTAAGAATATGGATGAATGGAACACGAAGCTCGTATACAACTTCTTTGAGAAGCTGAGGCGGAATTCCATCCGGACCAGAGTCTTTGCATGTTTTTACCTTTCTCAATACATCATACACTTCCCGTGGGAGCAGGAGAGGATCGAGGCGGCCTGGGAGCCGGTAAAAAGAGGGAGTTTGGTATTGTGTTATACCAGAGGATACATGAGCAAATTCGGTATTAATGGCATTACCGTTATCAATATAATTGTCTGCACTTACTCCAGGTTTTTGTATGCCATTTCTTAGAATCCAGTTTTTGTAAATGACTTACTCTCTCAGCATAATAGTTGTTTTTAGCAGACCTTTTTTTCACATTTCATTCTATTACGTAATGCTAGCCAATCGCTAGAATTACCTAAGCCAAATGCCTTCTGACGGGCATAAATCAATTTGTTCAATGGTTTTTAGAGTGATCCAAGGTCTATCAGAGGTACAAACTTTCTTGATAACTCTGGGAAAATGGGTTTCAATTGCTTCATTCATTAAACAGTAAAAAGCACTAGTTTTAGCTTGTAACTCCAGCAGAGTCTACTCCTGGCTTTACATCCAGGTACCAAAACCTCTCATCCCGGAATCCTTCAATGGCTTAACAAAGCGCAACTTGATTTTATTAGACACAGGTTCAGTGCAAGGGTTAAGAATGATGCAGTGATGGTCACCATTTCCAATGGGAGGTACGGTGGAAATGCCAACTTCAGAAAAACGAGATTTAAAACAAACAACACCCACTGATTAAAAAGGGTAGTGACAGCAGCTTGAGCAGCGCCCTCTACAGTATGAAGGATGTGTCTGTAATTCAAATCCTGGATGGTAATTTTGTCTCTTTCTTTTCTTTTTTTCTCAGACTATTTCGTGTTGTAAAAAGTCAGTTTGACTATTTTGTTTGGTGATCGAAATTCTGTTCTATGAACTTTTCAAGGGAAAAACTCTCACTACAACGCATTGTCGACGCTATTAGCGTGGCACATATATCACATAATACTATCATGTATTACTTCCACGCTCCCAATGATGGCATTTTGTTGCAAAAACATGCCGTGAACAGCGTTAAGTTGTCTGTATGGGTGGCTACATGAAGTGTCTACGAGACGAGCGTGTCACTTCCCGACGCAAAAAGGAGACCTGCAGCTGGACATAACACACTTTCCAGACTTTCCAGATTAAGGCACTTTTCCATCTGCGCGTCAACACTTGCACCATGTGTTCCGTATCCGTCAAAATCGCTCTCGGAGCGATTTTAATGAGTTTTCCACAGAACGGGAAATTTAGTGCAGATGGTCACAATTTATTGCTATCGCAGAGCCAACCGTTGTAACAAGCGAAAGTCCTCTTTTGACGGCCGAACGCAACGCCCACAATGTGATGTTAACGGAGTCGTTTTTTGTGTTGGTGAAAGTAAAACGCATGAACGCATCTTGTAGGCAACGCACAAAAAAAGTACATACTGAGGGAAAGGTGCCTGTATTCTTCGTTTGGAAAGCGTGTCAGATTGGAACAACTCATTAGACGTGACCACCTCGTGGAGTCGAAACATGTCAGTCGTACGCACGGTCCTGGGTCTGGTCTCACGCCTCCAGACGTGTCACCCACACTACCCGGGCCCGGCCACGGCTATTTCTTGAGCAGGATAAATGGTCGGTTGGCATTCACGTCAGCACGTACAGTACACGTACTCCATCACACCACGTAGAGGTGGTGTGTATTCATCGGACGTGACTGACCAGACTTCGCATAGCCCACCGTGGTCATGACCTATCGTACTGCGCACGTACGTGGTACAGGGAGAGTTTTAGCCAATCAGGCGTCTGGAAAGTATACTTACGCCATTACTGAGAAGCCAATAAAATTCCATGAACTGGGAAGCTGCGGCATGTCCTCATAAATAGGTCAGGTCTGTATATACAATGGAGTATTATGCCACTCTTCCTTGTAGAGTCATTCTTTTGCCACTTCACTCAGTGTCTTATCATCCGCAATTTTTACAAAAGGCAGTAGGTACCACGTGGCTGTATGACGAAAGCTCAAAGCGGAACAACTCACTGGCTAAGAGCAGGCAGTTCTCGTGCTGATGGATTACCACAACTTGTCATATCTATTTTGTATTTCTGGTGAAGAACACAGGAAAAATCTAAAAATGGCACCGACTTGTCTTGCTAATGTAGATGAATGTCAATCGTGAGTCCATATAACAAAATTATTGGCGAAAAGCCAAGGTTCTATGGTTGACACAGAAGATAAGAGATCTAACTAAACAAGGAAATATGATTCTTTTAGAATTGCACATCGAAATAAGTTAAGGTAAATTTGTATGGAATTATCAGTCTTCACATGAAAATGTTTCGACTGAACAAACATTACATAGCTTACAGCACACTTCATTAAGTTCTAAAACTTCATTCCAAAGGTTTAGCGTAAATCTCTCACACAAAAACGTGAATAAACGATTTCAACATGTGCATGGCTGGAGGCTGGATGATGTAAAGTACGTGTGTTCACATTTATTGTTCCGACGTCTCAGTCATTTGTTATGGTATTACAAATTCATCAAAATACGTCGAATGTAGAGCACAAGCCAAGCTTTCATATCCAGTATTAAAAGACCAACATTAGTCAAGACTACAAGGAAATCCACAGCATTTAAAATTGGAAAAGTTCTTACTTTTACCCAAATTACGTCTCGTATCATTTCCACTGTTTCCGAAGGAATTTTACTAGTTGCTCTTAATGCACCTGACTATAACTAACTCAGTGCTTGTACTACGTATTAAAGGAACAAAAGATATTGAATTAACAGTTCAGTTTATTGAAAAGGAATTTATTTAGAAAAAAAAATCGTATTTTAGTTCTGATTGAACGTGCACACCATTGAAAGCCGATACTGTGCAACCCACTTTACAGTGACTCAGACGCTGTTGGTGGTTTCAACACCAACATTTTAGAATACCGAAAACAACTGTCATTGTATATGTACAAGGATGTCTTAAATGCAAAAAAGTCAAATTGGGTATCTCCCAAGCTCAATGTTAATGTACAGCCCCCCCGGAATTTCAGCGCATAAACTACCCCAACTTTTGTGTAAGAGAAGATGTCGAAAGCTTTGATGGGCTTAAACTCCAGGAATAGTGCAAGGCAGGGGTAACGTACTTAAAGCGTTTGTGGCTACCCGTGCGCAGTCACCAAATCCACACCGACTGTAAGCATACATGTAACATGAATTGGTTACACTCTATAGGCTGAAATAACAATGAAGTGTAATACTAATTTGTTAGCTGTAATTTGCCAGTAGCAGCTGTCAGTATAACAAGATTTGCAAAATTAATTATCGCTAGTCATTGATTTTTGAAATGTCATGCACATTGATGACATCTGTGAAAGAATATTCAAGCCACCGGATATGTTTTGGTCAACGCGTAACCAATATGGCGTCACTGAATCTGACTGTTAGTTTTCTGAACCACATTGTTTTTAGAGTGAGTGCTCAGGGAACGTGGTTTGGGCGCCGGGGTTGGTAGCTGCCCGTGTGACTCTGTCAACAAGCTGCCTAAACAGCTACTCGCGGAAGGGTTAAATTTAAGAACGAGTGAATTGGTGTCGATGTTAGGGAGGTTTATGTCACTCAGGAACAAAAAACCGGTGCTCAGTTTAGGATAGCGCTGGAGGAAGTCGGAGTCATTGCATGCTTTGACAGAGTCCTCGGCGTAATCGATGAACTCCTGCACGATGTCTCTCAGAGAGGAAAGTCTCCTTGTGTACCCCCCAAACAGTCTCTTCCTGTTCGACTGGAGTTGGTTCAGTTGGGCAGTGAGCTTGGCTCTGGCTACGTTCACTTTTGCGATCTCTGTCTCGGCTTGATGCTGAATATCCTTTCTGGTTCTCAGCAGTACCGACGCGAAGTCCTGCTCCAATTTGTCCACGGTACGCAGAGCCGCCAGGATCTCCTTTAGACGGGCCTGGTACTTCAGCACGTGGTCTGTGACGGCGCGCCTTTTTTCGGCAACCACTCCAGCGGTGACTGCCTCGGTCTTGTGCCTGTTGTGCTCGCTGCTTTCCTCAAGGCAACCCGAACAGAGTGGCACGTCGCAGGTGCGACAGTAAACTCGAGAGGGTGGAGTGGCCGTCTGATCGCCCTCCTTCTGCACCGAGTCCACCATGCTCATCAGTCTGAAATCGGTGGGCAGGCTTTGCACCCCGCCTTGGGGAATCGGGACCTTTATTCGGCACATGGGGCAAGCCAATTCCTTCTGACAGCTCCCATAACACATGTGGAGGCATTCCTCGCAAAAGCTATGCAAGCAGGTGAGCATTTTGGGACTGCGATAGATGTCGTGGCAAATCGGACAGACAAGATGCTGCTGCGCAAACTTCCATAAGCTGGAAATGTGACCTTTCTTGGCCATCGTAGCCATACCTACATGCGGGAAAAAGAACAAAATGACCCATAACCTTTTTGCATGCAAATGCAGCGAGCGGCACCGTTGTCTATTTCTCATAACCTGGGCCATCTGGAAAGTCCCGGTTGTATTGTGCCGTGATGCATGACCTCCTGTTGAAAGAAGGCGATGACTGTTTGCTGTTCAGTCTTTACAGTGCTTCAACATGGGACAACCTTTTTTCTGGTCTCTCTGATAACTTGGCAGTTCGAACTCACGGGGGTGCAACCTTAACATTTGTAGTGTAGTGTTGCAGTGCAGGTTGGATGGGCGGGGTTATAATAATAATAATAATAATAATAATAATGAGGATTTTAAAACACGCCAAATCCGTCACAAGTGACGCTCGAGGCGCAAAACACTTTACAAAACAAAATACACATGTATGTATCAAATACGTTATGACATTTACTGAAAAAAGGTCCTAACAAATATAGATAGGCCTACATGTACATAAAAAAATTACCGCTGGTCTGAAGTGTTTAACCAGGAAACAAGAATGTTTCCAAGTCTGTTTTAAATTCTAAGAGCGATAAATTGCCAATCTTAAAGTTATGTTGCGACGACGGCAAAACATTTGCTACAGTAACTGTGGCTTAAAAGTCTGAAACTAAAAAGAAAAAAAAACGACTCACTTCTGAGTCGAGTTTTTCTGAAAGATAAAAGAAGGGGAACGCTATACATATATCACAGAGGCCCTACCACAGTTAAGGCCAGCATCGGAATGAGGCTAAAACGCGCCCCACATCCGAAAGATCTATCACGAATAATGAACGAGAAAAGAGAATGACTGAGAAGCTGATTTGGAGTTCTTCTGAGAAAACGAGGAAAGGGAGCGGGTTGATTCTTCACCGGGGACCCTACGTAAGAAAGTGATTTGCAGTGCTGAAAGAACATCGCAACTTGACGTTGGAATGCGCCAAATGCTCTAGGGCGGAGGACTCAGCAGCCACGTTCCCAGGTTCTAAGAAACCAAGACGCCACCTAGTTTAACACAGTGTATGATTCGTTGATGCAGTAACAATAAATGGATTTGAATTTGGTATAAGTTTGCAATGTATATGCAAAATAATGAACAGGTGTGCAAATAATCCCAATGACTCGTCTGTTTTGTTCAGAAACCAATGTTTGTATTCACGTCCCTCGTGAAACATTTTCAACCTTTTTTGCCGGCTACTGATGGGAACTCAGTGCGACCAAGTTAAGCACCGATCCCTTACACAAAAACGTCACAGCTATAAGCGACATCAGCCTGTAAAAGACTATTAGGCAGCCCTAAATGGCTGACTTGCATACTAATCATGACCATGTTACATACCTGTATGTAACGCTGGGTGCTTAGGCGATAAAAGAGGCCTCGTGCAAAGTTTGTCCGATTACTGAGCGTGTCGTTCCAAGGGCTGTCTCCCAAATCGATGGCATTAGCTACGGTATGTTTCACCTACCACAAGTGCTGAACAGACGAGTAGGTTCTTTGCGTGCAAGGATATGAAATTATTTGAAAAATACATGTTTTTAGTGTACCGTGTTTGGTGTTGCCATGAACCATGACTTCCGTCCTTTGTGCACCTGTACCATGTAACAGACAATAGGCCTACAACCATCTTTTCCTCATGCGTCACTTTGTTTCCTATTGTCGCCTTGTGAGTCTTTCTACGGAGGCGTATAAGCTTATACGCTTCCGTATTTTTCTGCCTCGTTTCAGAAAAAAAAATTGGCGAGCACAATTTTCTGCAGAAAAAAGCCCGGGGTTACTTCTGATGACTAGGTTCACTTCTCGGTCCTTTGAGTAAAATCAGCACCAGAGTTTGAAAGAAATTTAAACCTTTGAAACCACAACACTGGTCTTAAACTAAAAACTGTTGGGCGTTTATGTATTGTGTATATGGAACATTGTTTTAATGGTGGCTTTTATGGCTCTGAAATGTCTGCTCCTTGTGGTATTTAAGTATTAAGACAACTTCGTAGAAACTTTGTTGACGTCAGCATCGCGTTAGCCCGAAGGCTATACCATCTTAATCCCCTGCCAGGAAGCGTCCACTTCAGTGGGAATCACTGACCAAGCTTGGTAGGGCGTTCGGCGCTCCAGCCATGTGTGCTGGTCTCGAGTGTTGCTAGCGGGCCCCCGGGCTTCGCACGGCCGCGGCCTGCCTGTCGAATGGGGTACTCAAAGGCTCACGCTCCCCTACCCCGAGTTCAAAACAGGTGTCACTGTGCATCCTGCGCAGAATGCCAGCCCACGTCTCTGATCGACTTCCTGCTTAGGCTGGTATGCCTGACGAGTTGGCGGGTTATACTCTCTCATGCAGAAATGTAGCCGACGGGCAGGATTGTCTTCACGACAATATGAGACCGGATGAAGTGATTCGACCTTACGGGCAAATCTCTCTCGCAGTGTAAAGAAACCGCCGTAAGCTGACGTAAATCTCTCCCCGGATTTAGTTGCGGAGCGTGTGATTACCGAAGGAAGCTCAGCACAGACCAAGCGCATTATTTTACGGTCATTTGTTCCTCGTGAACAAGAACAAGAACACCGACCGATAGGTGATGTCCCTTATTATTAAAAGTTCGTACACAAGGAGATTGAATTAAGTATTCCAGTAATTCAAATATATAAAGTTGGGTTCTTTTCCATTCCTGAAAAAAATTAATTTCAAATTTCCTGGTTGCACTTTCAGGCCCATACGCCAGCTTAACTTGAATTCACAAAATTTCTTAATTAATCGCTGTAAAGAGGTCGAAATCCCAATGCATGTGATCATTATTTGTGTATAATGTTTCTGATAACTTTCAGAAATCTTTGACCGCTACATGTATTACAAAGGCGCATTCTTCTTTGTGAATCATCTGTGTTCAGGCTTTGACTTCTAAAATATGACTTTAATAAACAACATTGCAAACAATGATCAAATCATTAAGCGATGATAATTATGTATAATTTCATATTCTCTCACAAACCTCCAAGCAAACAATTGCTGCAATATGATTTCGCCAACAAACCTTCTTTACTCCGGGAAAGATGAAATGCACTTGAAAAAGCCGTACTTAAAAAAGTTGACCTTTAAAAAACGAGCAGAATAATATGCCCGCGGTGCCTCATCTGTAAGTACGATTTGCGTGCTTCTGGGTTTTGATTTAAGAAGTTCCATACCCCCCGTACTTCTTGTCACTGCGTGTACCCTAAGGCGGCTCCTGATTCTTGCCATCCCCGCCCCTTCGTCAAAGTGGGGCTGTGCGGGATGCTGGTGGATCACCGGCACTCGGAATGCTTGACCTCAAAGAGTGGACGCCCGGTCGAGGCAAAATCTGCGACAAACCTGCAGGGGAAACACGATAGTCTGCCTGCATTCACTGCACACTCAAGTCATTTTGAGAAGTTCAGCGACACCCTTATTTGCAGAAAGCTTTGATTTGTCGGGACGTCCCAGAAGAATTTGGAATCCGAGGTTTCGATCGAGCAAAAGGGGAGAACTCCTTTTTTTTGGACTCCGTACACTCCCCTGGTCCAGTCTGTAAATACTCCATCGCATTATCGCCTTTTGCTCTATTTTGTCAGATGTAGACGTCGTGGATATGGGGCGAGCAGTATCTTGCGCACACAAAGACTGAAAGGGCGGGGTATCTTGTGCAAACTCTCAGAAGTTTGCTTAGAGGCTTCCCTACTAATCTTCCAACCGAAATCCGTGATTTAAAACAAGCGGGAAGTGGATTCCCGACGGACACGGGCGCTGGCACTTGGCAAGCCGTGGATGGTCGCTGCTTTCGTGGGCGAGCTCTTGTGCAATGGGATATTGTCTGAATTCAAGCACAGGTCCGGGGTCATCAGCACCAGGTCGAAGATGACGACCGTTGAAATAATGCCTCTTCAGTGTTCACTTCCGAAGCGTTTTTGGATTTGTTTTGGTGATGTTTTGAGTTTACACACAGTATGTAAATGGCGGTATCTCGATTTAACTCTCTTTGCACAAAAGTACGGAAACACCTGCCCAGTCCTTTTCTGGCCTTTCGTCGATGCCTAACTAACCACAGGTTTCGCAGTCTACACGGAGCAGATCGGACTGATTCTATCTGCGGGCTAATTATTCTCATAAAAAAGAAACTTAAAACAAACCAAAAACAAAACAAAGCAAAACCAACAAACAAACTTGGAACTTTCTTAGTCGTGAAGGTGACCGGTGGTGGTTATGTAACTTTTCTCCTTTCTGAAAAACACGTGCCCTGACAGTTCGTGTTGTCTGTAGTGAGCCGATACACATGACGTATTTTACCATTTTGCTTATATCATTATATCGATGTGAACTGGAAGAACAGCCTACACTGTATTTCTTTAAAATTTGTTTATCTCTGCAGTTGAAGTGCAAACCCTTTTTTTCACGCTGGCATCTTGAAGTATTAGCTTATCCTCAATTAATTTTACAAACTCCCTTTTCCTCGACCACGGACTGACTTGAATAGCTAAGGCGGAAGAGGACATCCGTAATTTAAGAGCCCCTTCCCAACCCAAAAGTCTCCGATTTCTGGTCAGTGCGCGCGCACGTCGTCGTAGACCTGCGTGTCGGCAAAATAAAAAGTTTTTAGTTTGTATAATACGATGTCCAAAAGCTGCCGAACTTGCTTGATCGACGGAAATCCTGCTACTGCGTTATTTCAACGTGTTTTAGATGGGATGCAGCTGAGTAATATACACAGTAAAGGAGTCCCTCTGGGCCCCCATAGATTTTAGTCGAGGGGGGGGGCTTTTTCAGATGATGTCATTTCTGTATTATACATTTACATCTGGGAACTAGACAAACGAGGTGGTCTTATGTCCCGTGTACATTTACAAGCTGAAAACACTTTTAAACAGTAACAGTGAAGGGGGCCAGTCTATTTCAGTGTTGGTAGCGGCGGTACGTGCTTGCAAGCACATGTGCATAGGAACAAATCTGAGGGCAGAAAAAATGAAAACACCGCGTCGCCGCACCACTTTTAGAGCCAGCCCCTGATCAGAAACAGGAGACTTTCGGGGGGGAGGGGCTAAAAGGAGGCCCCCACACAAGGAGAGTTCAAAGACGCCTTACAGACTACCGCTTTGCTGTCAGGCAGAGCTGCACAAAAAGGAATTGATCTCAGAATTAAAGAGCTACAATCCCGCCCAATGGTTGAATTTTGAAGTGAGCGTGAAAGTATGAGACACCGCCTCCCGAAATGCCGAATCTCAATCCCGCCCCTTTTGCCATAGGAATTGTTCCCCTATGTGTCAAGGTGTAAAATGTGAGCAGTGGAGACCGAGTTGTGCTTTTTACGGTGCCCCAGAAATTACATACTTGGAAGTAATTGGGATGAAAGCTGTTGAAGTCACCTGGCTTAATAACGACGAAGTAAGAGAAATTATCCCAGAATCCGTCTCTGTGAATATCCATTATGAACAGTTTGGAGTCGGGTAGTTGATTTTCAGACATGATGTCGGTTCCCTCTCCCAGATACCCGTCAATTTTCTGATAGGATCATGGTGACATACGTCCAGATTTACTTCATATGAAAGACAAGACCAAATTGAAAAAAGCCTATTCGTGGAAAAAATTGTAATTTCTGCTTTGAAAAGCCTTAGCAGCTTGTGTCCCCTGGCGCTAGATGAGGCAGAGCTTGGCCGCTATCAGCTTTGCCCCCAGGCCAGGTCTGGTCGTACAAAGTCCCGCCAACCACCTGCACTAAGATACCCCGCTCCCCTTCCTGTCTCCGGACACGGAGTCTTTCCTCGTCCCTACGCTCTTTCCTGCCTCCGATGTTAACGGCCAGCCCAGCAGTGTTGGTTGTTGCCCCTACCCGTGTGCTCCAATACCATCCCTACTACCCCCGGGGATCAATTAGCGACACTTCGTTTATACGTGCCCTCCCCTCCTTTCCCGTCGTCGTTCGCCTCGCCTCTCTGCCCTCTCGGGGCTTCATTATTTAAAAACTGTCACTTTTTACCATGGTAACCAATTGGCCTCTGGTGGGATTTAACAAAAGGTAATTGGGACACATCCATCGCCTTGTACTCGTATGCATGATGTATGAACCTCATGTAACAATACCCCAGTGACAGAATAAGAGTGAAAAATGTGAAAGTTCCTATGGTTACGTAGTGGTTACACTACTATAATCATATAAAAGTCACCGTACTGGCACAGCAGACGGATGTGTCTTCCATTTTACATAATACATGTACAAAGACCTAAATCGTTTCAATGACAGACTAATTTGGCGACCCAAGACAGAAGCCCTTACTGTGTTGGCAGAGCGCGGGTGGATGGACAGGTCACGCGCGCCAGTGGTGTAGCGAGGATTTTACTAGTGGGGGCACAAAGGCGCACCAGCATCTTATGGGGGGCACCAGTTCTCAGTGGTGTGGTTTTTTGGGGCAAGTTTTTGGTAGCCTTGGTCAATATCAATGCCTCCGTTTTTTCAGTTTTTTTGTGGGGGGATGTGCCCCTGGCCGCCCCGTGGCTACGCTACTGATGCGCGCGTTGCGTGCCTCCG